CTGAAAGTTGTAAGTGAAAAACTTTGGAAATTTAGGTTATTTGGAAATTTTAAAAGAAGCACCGAAAATTCAGAAATTTGGTAATTTCGAAGTCATTTGGATGTTTCAGAATTTCGAAAGTTGAATCTTCGAAAAATTAGAAACTTTGAAGGCTCGAAAGTTTGAGAAATTTTCAGTTTGAGAAGCTCGATAATTTCACTTGAGAATCTTCCACTGTAACGTGAAAATTCGCGAGTAGCAGCAATTGAAACATTTGATCATTTGAAGATATTCGAAAGTTAAAAAATATCTGTGCCTAGAGATTCAGTTATCTGCAACTTGAACATTTAAGAACTCCAAAAGGTCGACAGTTTGGCGATTCAAATATTTTGAAAATGAAATTCTGAAAGCTCTCATTCCCTTTTACCTCGAAGTTGAATTACATTATACTTAAAATTTAAAATAAAGCAAGGAATTAGTTAAACTCCTCATTATAAAAGTTTCGACTCAAGGGAATGACCTAATTAAAAAGGCTAATTGTACGTAAAAATCTGCAGAGGTGTTCTTCGCGCAGATAAAAATCCCTTGAAAAGTAATCGAAGTCGTGACAAATTTTGAAAGAACTCGAAAGACACGTTGATTAACGTATTCTAATCAATTGTCTGGATTTTTATTAGAAATAAAAAGTTTTCAAGAATTTAAAGAAGAACGAACGAAATGGTCCTTGATCGAAGTTATTCGCAGAAACTATGGCACAGTGATTCAACGGAATTCCTTGGCGTACAATCCAAATTAAAAGGAAACAATCCTGAACTAAAGCTAACGCACTTGCAACCGGAAATCACGTGCAAACAAACTGCAGACCGAGCTGAGAAACCAACCCAAACGACTTCACTCTGATAAACATCTCTTTGAACTAAGAAGCAATGGTCTGGAATCGAACAAAGACTGTAGAGAGATAGATAAAGGAGAAATTTCAGGTCATGAACGAGGAATATTTTAAGATAACTTTTCAGATGTTTTCAGATTTTCAGATTAGGGATAATAAACCCATGAGTAATGTCGTTCTTTTTTTTTAATAAAATTTTATTTCAATTAAATTTTTATTTTATTTCATTTAGTATTAAGAGTTGATACAGTTTTCATCTATAATATGATTTAACAATGAGCACATTAAATGTCAATATATTTGACTAGAATGTAGGTTGTGTTGTAACAAGATAAATTAATTTCACTAGGTAGGCAATATTTATTAAATTTGAAGAAAACGACATTACTTATGTATAGATGCCTCTAATATATCAATCGACAAGCTGTGTACCTCATTTTTTAACAAATAAAATATACTTACAGTTTTTTTTCGAATTTAATTGGAAATTTAATTAATCAAGAGTTTCTTCAATTTAAATTACAGCATATGTAATTCTCCAGGATTTTATTTTCAATAAAACTTGAGATATGCACGTCGAAACTTTTATTTAAAATGTAGACAGACGATGCATTCTAACAATCAGAAATGAAACTAAGAATTTACTTGAATTATTGTCGTGCGAGTAAAATATTATAAAACGTCGAATACTTAATAAATTAAGTACTAATTGATACTAATACTAATATTTATACAATATGATGTATTACATTATTACTTGGTTGTTATTAACGGTACTATTTTAATAAGTATATCAATCGTTGTAATGATACTTTTATACCAGGAATATTATACGTATTATCCATTATATTTAAACTTCTCACACATGCACAAACATTTATAATCTACCAATAAATCAAGGAGAAACGAAATTATGTTACATCCAGATGACATACCACGAAAAATAGAAAAATAATACTAATCCTCGTAATACAACTGTATAATCAAATTATATTATACACGTATCGCAATTTGCCACTTGATCACTCTCAAATTATATTATACACAGATCCCACTCAACATAAAGAAAAAAAAAAAGAAAGTACATACTACTTCTCAACCCTTAATTCAATAATTCAGCCAAATGTCCACTTAATCACTTAACACACACACACACACACACACACACACGTTCAGACACACACACAGAGGTACACTCGTGACATCACAAACGAGGCTATTCATCCTCGCATAGTCTATCGTAAAACGACTCCACCCACGCATTATTCAGAAACTTCTTCCTTCCCTTATCGTACCGTCCGACGAAACTGGAAATTCGAGCGTACAAACCCATGCGTCAAAGTTTCCGCCGGCAATTTTCATACCGGCATATTTACCCGGCAGTTTAGCCGAGACTTACGACACAGCCGCCGACATCGTCGCGCCCGCAAATCGTACGAAATTCTCCCCATATCTCTCTCTCTCTCTCTCTTTCCGCTCCTACGGTGCAATCTTCTCCCGCAGAGAGAAACGTTTCTTACGTTCCTGTACGTCTGACACCTCCGACCCCGGTGTTGTTCGCGCCCCGAATCGCGACACCGAGGTTCCTCCGAGGTGTAAATCATCCAGCGACGCGGATACACGCTGCCTTCCGGAGTGGGAGAGGGCGAGACGCTTCACTTTTACGATTATCCATTTTTACGTCCGCGGATTTTACGACCGCTTCGTGGCCTTTAACGGAACGTGCTGCTTGAAATCAAAGAACTAGTTTCTTATTTTAAATAAAAATCTTAATTACGTATAATATTATATATTATATATTATTAAATATTGTTGCTATATTATATATTACTAAATATAATTTTATGTGTGTATATATATATATATATATATATATATATATATATATAGAAATTAATTATAATAGAATTATATAATTTTATGTATATATATATATATATATATAGAAATTAAAATTAAATTAATTAATGTACAATTTATTAATTTTGAATTGACTAACTTTCAATTTCTGTTAGATGTTTTATTAGACGTGAAACAGCGTATGTTTTTAAAGACTTGAATGGTTCTTGAAAATGTGAAACGTACAATATGTGAAAACTTGTACAAGCTCCGTTGTATTATTAAGTTTCTCTATTTTCTTCTTTTATGGAAATTTTATGCTAAGCGTTAAACTGTTAATGATATAGTGTTGTTATCGTGGCGTGAAAATGTGGGATTTTGTGAAAAATTTGGGTTTACAGTTGGGTATGTTGCAAATTTCTGCAAATTTGAAGAGATCTGAACGTTCGTAGGTTTGGAAACTCGAAATTTTGGAAATTCGTAAACTTAAGAATTTCGAAATTTCTGGATTTGAGGATCGAGCGTTTGAAAGATTGGAGAATTTAAAAGCTTACGGGTCGAAGTGTTTAAAAATTGGAAAATTTAAAGACTCGGAGGTTCGACATATTCGTCAGTTCAGAAACGAAAATTCGGAAATTTCAGTTTAACAATTGAAAATCGGGCAATTGAATTTAAACGTTCGCTGTGCCTCAAACAATTAGTATTTAGTTAACAAAGTATGCTCGCATTTACACACATTTACTTGTATACTTGTATACATAGATACATATATATTATAACATAGTAATTGCAATTATAAACGTCGCCAGAAAAAGCAGGGACGTTGAACAAAATTTCCGCATAAACGGAACATTCCCCCACGTTTTGTTCATTGACTGGACCAAAGGAGACAAAAAAAACTCCGAGTATACGCATTATCGACGAACAACCCCGGCGAATAATTAATTCCATTCGCGTATGGAAATTCGACCGGGCAGAATGGTAATTAATCAAAACTGCTTGTTTAATGCCGAATAAACCGCCGTTGTTGTCAGCCTTTAAATAATAAACGATCAGAATATTCCCGTTCGTTATTATGAATGATAATTGACGCCGCTTGCACACTGCGTTAACTGCGAGAAAAGACGGTGTATTATCGCGAAACCAGCCGTATAATTTGTTCATTGTCAGCCGGCAAAACGGTCTCGTGCACCGGTGTACCGTCTCCCGTCGTGAATTTAATCGGGATTAAGATTTCACCGTAACTTTCCCTTGTTCTCCCTTTTTCTTCCTCATTTCGTTCCAATTCTTCAAAGATTCCCGATTTCTCACGTCACATTTACAACACAAGTGACACACGCGTCTCCGTTATTTTCTTTTTAGTTTCGTTACTTTTTTTTTAAATTATTATTTTTTCGATTATATTGATTGTGTTAATTATTTTTCAATTATATATCAATTCGTTGTTTCATTCGACGTGTTCGTAGCAGTCGTTAGTTTTCTGGAGTTTGAACTGAAGACAATTGAACTTCGAGCATTTAATTGCGCGTGAAAAACAATTTCTCCATGAATTTTGAATCGTTTGAATACTGAATTTTGATCGCTTGAATTTGATTTAGACACGCGTGGTAGCAATTTGTTCCTCTGCCGATGAATTTTCGTTGCTTAAATGTGATCTTCACCAGTTTAAATTGAAGCATCAAGCTGCATTTACGTGCGCGATGACAATTGAATTCTTATTACTTGTAATTAGAACTACCGGCGATTAAAATGTAAAATTTCCATCAGAGATATACAAAATAAAAATAACTTTACAATACATATGAAGTAGGTACACATTTATACTTTCGTTCGTACATTTTACGAGAGATCATTTAAATTTAAATAAATACTAGAATAATAAAAATATAAATTTAAATAAATACTACGATAATAAAAATATAAATTTAAATATAAATTACATTTATAATAATACGAATTTAAATATAAATTACATTTATAAAAAAATATAAATTGAAATATAAAATTATATTTACAATAATATAAATTTAAATGAATAAATAAATTTAAATGATAAAGTCTGTAAAAGTATTGTACACAAAAATTATAAAATTAAACATTGGTCATTTCCGTCATTGTCGTAGTTCTCTAGTGATACAATAATTATAAAATTCTCTAATCTGACGCTCAGCTAACACTGACGCTCAGCATTTGAAGTCCATGCGATGAATAAAATAGTGTTGTTGGTCTTAACGCATTCTATCCGCCAAGTATCACGATACCAAGGATTGAAACGCACTCTGAATGACGACAGATAGCCGTTCACTGCCTGGGAGACGAGGCAACGTTGCGCAGGTGGCTGGTCTACGACCCTCGTCAGAGGGTGCAGGGTTGGAGGTTCGCCTCGTACATGTTGCTACACTCGAACGCGCTTCACCTTGCGTTGAACGTGGTCATCCAGCTGGTGCTCGCCACTCCGCTCGAGGTGAGTTAATCAGACTAATTGCCGACAAGCCGACTGTTCGTCCGCCACCCTCTTTTTCTTTCTTTTTCTTTCTTTTTTTTTTTCTCTCTCTCCATTCGCGGCTCGACAAAGTATACACCCCCTGCTGCGATCGATCTGTGCACAGTTCAAAGGGACTGCGCATCGAGTGAAAATTATCGAGTGAATGCAAAGGCACGCAGAAAAGGAATTTAATGCCACGGGCTATCGATCGGCGAAGAAGCACAGGGGGAGTGTTCAAATTTTGCTTGTTGATTCGCCGCGCAGTGATACTTGATAGACAGAAAGTTTTGAAATTAAAATTTTGAACGACTTTTTCGCTATTTTTTTTTTTTTTTTTTTTTTTTTTTTTTTAAGTTAAGTTCTTCGAGTAAATATACGTTTTACTCACGTCTTTTATACTCTATTGAGAGTTCGATTAATTGCCATAGGTAACTCACGAATAGTATTAATTTATTGTATTATTATCGTAGTGGAAATTTATTTTTAAATTTTATTTTATAATATATTCTGTATTTAATTTCACTCTCTATTTTTAGTTCACAGTCTTCGCGACAATAAAATTGAATATTCAACGATTCATGTTCTTGATCTCCTGTAATTTTTTTTTTACAAACATCTCCTCCCATCTGTCGTATTTTTCCAAGTATTTGCAACAACGGATAAAAATTGATCATCCTGGTGTGACACACGCCTGTAAATCTATTTAAATCCAAAAAAAAAGCTTCGACGAACTGAAAAATTACGGATCGCTTATCTCGACCGCTGCGCAATCTATAAAATTTCTAGTAACAAATTGGTCACCCCAGCCAACGTAAATCTAGAAAAATTCGACGAATTTATTATTTTGACACGAATCCATGAAATATCTACGAAAACTGAGCTGATTGTTTTCACCACTGTGTAAATCAATAAAATTTCTAAAAAAAAATTACGAGTGCCGTTGTTTCAGTCGGATAATTCTATTATAGCGTCGAATCAATGAGAAACTTTACACTGGAATTGCTAAGGATTTTTCAAAATTTCTTTTTCGAAATTGTTACCATCCAGATTCTTTCAATTTTGAAAGAAATATTCGTGACGATTGAAGTATGAGAGACGTTCTCCACGAAAGAGAAACGAATATCGAACGAAAGAAATTGTGGATGATCATAGGTGGAACAGGGTCGAATAGGGGTGGCAACAATCTACTTAGGAGGTGGTGTTTGCGGAGCCCTCGGAGCATCTCTTCTTCAACCGAGCCTCTTCTTGGTCGGTGCTTCTGCGGGTGTTTATGCTTTACTTACCAGCCATCTCGCGCATCTTTACTTGGTAAGTTACAAATTACGTTATCGTGGTACGACTATACTACTAAAATTAGCGAGTGACACTCAAATTGGTCAAACATTGATATACATGTATATATAAAACGAAATTTGCTACTTAGAAATTGATTCCCTTATATTTTTCATATTATTATTGCGTTACACATTTATTGCGTTACTATCTTATGAAATGTTGAACAAACAACATTTTAAACAATAATTACTTTGTATAAATGTTCTATAGAATTTACTTTTATAAAGAAGAGAATTCTTTCTGTGTATAACCGAACGACGATCGTACGACTTGTTTCTTACTTCTTTCAACAGTTTTAACTTGTTTCTTAGTAACTGCAACTTCTCCAAACTTTGCAAATCCAATCTAGTTTTATTCTTCTATCTATTTCTCCTTCGTTATTTGTAACGTCACCAACATACCTTCTACACAATTAAAAAAAGACCCACCACGTCGCTTGCAATCACAACGATCCCTTAGAAGTTAGTAATTTCATTTCTAAGTACAACCTTTTCCCTTTTCGTGTCTATTTCTCGTTTCTCATTTTCAATGTAATGAAAACTCCTTTAAAAGAGAATCTTCCAACCTCCTTCGCAAATTAACCTGAATACTTATGTATATTTCAATTTTCCGACTAGTCAACTGTTAATCACTTATACCGCTGCAATAATTCTATTATTGTTCTCTCAACAATTATCTTATTTATTTAAAAATCAGTAACATTACTAGCAATTTCTTCGTACACTACGCAATCATGTATTGTTTGTTTTTCCTTTGCCTCAAGTTTCTCCAGCACAGAATTTTTTTCTAAGAAGCTAGTTATTAATTAGTCACTCATCTAATTGCGATAAATATTCTTGTTTCTTATAAATCACTGATAAAAGAATCGAAATTCAAAATTAGTTTAAACATTTATATTTCAGTACCTAATTTCATCATACATTGTTCAACACAAACCAACTGCTTATCAATTCATCTGTTCGTCATCACTGATTTCCCGCATGTTTGCACTTAGTATTTTGCATATAAAATATAAATTATTCAACATAAAAGGATTAAATCTCAAATACTACTTTTCAATAATCAACTTCCTCTAACATCATTCAACATAATCTTTCCATCTCTAAACCAATTGTTCATTAATTACCATCTGTTTCTCATCCCCAACACTACATTGTCTTTCCTTGTAAAATGACTGAATTTCAAATTAATATGAATACTATTTTTTAGCAATCAACGTTGTCCAACACAAGAGTTCTATCTCCAAACTAATTACCAATCAATTTTTATAAAACGTCAAAGTTCCAAATTACTCTGTACACTTAAATTTCGACGTCAAACTTTTTCCAACATCATTCAACATAATCTTTCTATCCCTAAACCAATCGTTCATTAATTATCATCTGTTTCTCATCCCCAACGCTGCATTGTCTTTCCTTGTAAAATGACTGAAATTCAAATTAATATGAATACTACTTTCAGCAATCAACTTTGTCCAACGTTGTCCAACACAAAACTTCTATCTCCAAACTAATTACCAATCAATTTTTATAAAACGTCAAAGTTCCAAATTACTCTGTACACTTAAATTTCGACGTCAAACTTTTTCCAACATCATTCAACATAATCTTTCCATCTCTAAACCAATCGTTCATTAATTATCATCTGTTTCTCATCCCCAACGCTACATTGTCTTTCCTTGTAAAATGACTGAAATTCAAATTAATATGAATACTACTTTCAGCAACCAACTTTGTCCAACGTTGTCCAACACAAAACTTCTATCTCCAAACTAATTACCAATCAATTTCTATAAAACGTCAAAGTTCCAAATTACTCTGTACACCTAAATTTCGACGTCAAACTTCCTCCAACATCATTCAACATAATCTTTCCATCTCCAAACCAATCGTTCATTAATTATCATCTGTTTCTCATCCCCAACGCTACATTGTCTTTCCTTGTAAAATGACTGAAATTCAAATTAATATGAATACTACTTTCAGCAATCAACTTTGTCGAACGTTGTCCAACACAAAACTTCTATCTCCAAACTAATTACCAATCAATTTCTATAAAACGTCAAAGTTTCAAATTACTTTGTACACCTAAATTTCGACGTCAAACTTCCTCCAACGTAGCTTCTAACGATCCTCCGATCAATTGTCAGCTCACCTTCTCCCAATTTCTGTTGTTTCCAGTGTCACGGAGAACTGCGATACGCCGGCTGGCGTCTAGGCGCCGTGTTACTCTTGGCAAGCGCGGACGTGGCGTCACTTCCGATTCCAGCGTTGCTCGGTTGTGGCCGAGTCGGCTGGGCAGCTCATGTGGCTGGCGCGTTGGCAGGACCACTCCTAGGCTTGGCAGTCTTCCCAAATCAGAGCAAGAAGGACGCCAGAGGGCGGAGATTCGTCAGGTTCGTTCGTCTTCTGTCGGCAATCAGCGTGATGCTCCTGGTGGTCGGTGCCATCCTTGGCAACATCTACCTGATCGCGTTGCCACAGCTGAGGAAACCATCCTGACAGAGGATCGAGCTGCTCGTCAAGCTCTGCAGACGATCCTTCCTCATCGTCAAGATCAGGGAGGCCGCCGAGAGCGTTTTCGAGTAGAGCCCGCTGACAATTATTTTCGCAATGGGAATTTTTTTGCCACGTCGCTCGCGCCGAAAGGGAGTTTGATATCGTGTGAAATGAAAAGAAGAGTCGAAAGACAGGGGGAGGCACTTTGGTCGAAGAGGAAATTTGGAATACTTGCATGTAAAGATAAATAATAATAGCTCTCGACTGTTGAAATTTGGTTGGATGTATTTATGGTGGCGCGTGAGAAGAAGAAATTTTTCGAACTGTGAAAGTTAGAGAGAGAAATAATAATTAGAAAGAAGAGAAAGAGGTTTCGTGTAGATTGGTTGGACGTGGTGTGAAGGCTGTTTGCAGATCGTTGTTGCGATACGCGTTGGAAGAACAAATTTTTCGAACTGTGAGAGAAGAGTAAATAATTCGAAAGAAATAATTCGAAAGAAGAGAGAAGGATTTTGTGGTTCGGACCGGTTGGACGTGGTGTGAAGACTGTTTGCAGATGGTTGTTGCGATACGCATTGGAAGAAGAGACTTTTCGAAGTGTGTTCAAGTGGGTAAAGGGAAATAGATTTTTGGATATAAGAACGAGGAAGATATTAAGAAAGAAAAGAAGTAACGGAGTAATTACCGTAATGAGAGGAGAAAAAGGAAGACAGTAATATATTACGACGAAATGTAACCTTACTAAGATCTTAGGTTGAACATAGAATTTATCTAGCAGAGAAATCGTTGATTGATTAATGAAAGAATGAGCACTCTCCACGAGAGAAGAAATATTTAACAATTCTTGCCAAAGTGATATTTATCTTTATCAAAACTGCCAGAAAAAACCACTCACCAAAAAAAAAAAAGAAAAAAAAAAGAAAAACACTCACTCGCCTGAAGTAAAAATAAAAGTCAGGAGAAAATAGAAAAAGAAACAAGGTCAATCGATCAGCCAAAAAGTGAAGAACAAAATTAGAAGAGAATAAAATTAGATTGAAGAGATCTGTCTAAGAGAGATCTTCCGGAAAGAAAGAACCAACTCGATTCAAGTTTCTTCGACTTTCCATTGACAAGAATGATCGAGAGTCTCCTTTTCGAGAGAACTACAGTATCCTGTATAGTGCAGTATCCTATGTTTCTAGGATGACCAAAGTCTACCTGACCGATCTCTTGAATTAGCAGATAAAAAAAAAAAAAAAAATAAGGGGAAAAGAACACTGGAAAATTTACGTTGGCCAAGCTGTGTCTAATCGTGAGATTAGGGGAGTTCGTTGCTCGTGGCCAACGTTCTTTTTTTATCCAACGACTGACGAATCGACGTTGTTTCGACAATGAATGGATACTTGTGCATCGTTTAACTCGCTTGAATGGTGATTCTTTATTCGCAATCGTCGATGTTAAGGTGCCACGATGGATAAAAAGTCTCTATTTAACGATTCTGATATAATTTCAATTTTATTTTACGCACGAAGAACAGTGAACAATCTTACGCTATAAATTGTTCGTTCGAAGATAAATTTAATGGAAAGGACAGTTTCGATTCATTTTAATTTTTATTTCGCGAAGAGCAATTCCAGTTGAAGAACATTGCTATGCTATAAATTACATGTGTTCAATCCACTTCGATTTTCAGTGCATGAGAAACACACGATGATTAACATTCTTCGTTGGAGACTGACGTGTTCAAAAATAAACGAATAAAAATACCTTCGTAAAAAAAAAAAAAAAAAAGAAGAAGAAGAACTGAACGAAATACACTGCCCTGAAGATCACTGTCTGATCGATTGTCTCGACGTCACTTCTCAGATATGCAGCTAACGAAGATAACGAAGAAAGAGAAAATAGGAAATAGAAATTTTCAAAAGAAAAAAAGAAAAAGAAAGGACTATCCAGCTCTCGCAAGATAAAGGAAGAGTTGAAAGCAGCACAGTTTAGCACTTCTCTATAGTACTTTTGCCGTGCATTTAGGAGATGAGGGAAAGATGAAAGTTCAGTCGTTCTTGGGTGAAAGAAAGGTTAAAGGCAAAGAAAAGGTCGAAGGAATTAAAGAAGTTGGACCTCTCGAACATCGACGACGAACTTTCGACTGTACTCGATATACGATGGACTCAAGAGACAGAAATCGCAAAGGGAGGGATGTGTGAATGTGTTTTTTTCTGTTGTCGTTCGGTCGACTCGAAGTTCGAAGGTCAATGGAAGGGATGGCGAGGAGAAGCACAGAGTGTTCAATAAGCGTTTAAGATGATTTTGTCGAATCGAAGCGTTCGGGACAATGGCGCCGAGGACTGTGGCGAATGATGTCGATCGGCAGATAGCTGTCGTGGTCGACGAGTGTACAATCGACTAGCAGTAAGCCTGAAATCCGTTGATTGGTAACGTATTGGTAGACCGTTGCTTCCCGGTCGCGTGAAAGTCGACGAACAAAAGAGACATCGTGCCCTTTGTACCCTTTGATAAAAGCTGCTCCTTTCTCGGTTCTGTCCCCTCCTCTTTGCGAGAATAACCCGAACAACTTTTGCTTCGGACGAAGCAAAAGCGAAGAAATTTTTGTTGGAATGAGATTCCACTGTTTCGAAACTTCTCTCTTATGGTCGAGATGCTTGATCTTTAATTTTTATCCCGCCGGCGAGATCAATTGCAACTTTCGTTCTTCCGACTCTTTTCATCGGGAAATATAATTATACGTACATAATTACACGAAAATTATATTCTTCTCAACGATAACTGAAAACAAAGATTTATTTAATAAAGGAATTTTATTCAGGAATACTAGACACGGTGAGGTCATTGAATATTAGAAGAAGAAAAAAATATTTATCAACTATATTTTTATCAGTTAATTTAATTTGACTGAACGTTTTATATTTTATATCAACTTGTAATTACTCGGGCAACACTTGTTAATTGCAAGTAGAGTTAGAAACGTTTCACACTGAAAAATTCTACCATCTCTGGCAGTTCAAAGATTATTACAAAATGAAAAGAAGAGAAGAGGAGAAGGGAACTTTTCGTCGATTTTCACGCGATTCCAGGAATAAATAATGATAATTAGCCGATAAGGATGTTCTGTAAGATAATTCTCCGCTATAAAGTATCGATTGAAATAGCGATAAGTTGAGTATTCGTTATTTAAAAACGCGGCTACGAACAACGTGAGTTCCTCTCGCCGCTGGTTTTTTTTTTTTTTTCCCTCCAAACCGATCCCGCGGATGAAAACCCGGGATAGAAAATTGCGCGAGTCGGGAGATGCATTTTTCACGATCCCTCGATTCGCCGTTGCGACGATGCGTTTTCCCGTTAAGGTGGATGGTCGTCGAGTGGAGGACGTCGTTGTCGAAGATGACGCGTCGCGGAACGACCTGATTTCCCTCTGAAAAATCGTACGACTATCATTCGAGAGTTATGTGTATCTCGATCTTCTGTAATTCTTCACGTTCAAATCGTACATTACGGACGATACTTCGCTTCTTGCCATTTAATAACCTTCTTCTTCGCTTTCAATTCCGAATTTGTACGTCAATGTGTACTTTTTAGAATTAATTTTGAATTTTAGTATAAATCTTCTGAAATTAATTTTGAACTTTAGTATTAATGCAACATTTTTTCTTTCTTTTTTTTAAATTAATTTCGTACTTAAACATTGATGCGCATTCTCTGAAATTAATTTGGAACTAGAACACTTATATATTCCTTGAGATTAATTTTGAATTTTGATGTTAATGTGTGTGTATTCTTTAAAAATTAATTACGAATTTTAATATTAATTCTGATATTGCAGTACAATGCTCAAAAATTGATTTCCCCTTATCGAAGAGCGATCTTCTTTGCTTTTAATTTTGAACTTCGTATCACGCTCAAAAATTAATTTCCTCTTATCTAACAGTTTCTTTGCTTTTAATTTGCAATTTCCTTTTATCTAGCAGCGGTCTTCTTTGCATTTAATTTTGAATTTTGCAATCTCGAATGCAAATACAATTTCAATCGTCTAGAAAGTTCTTCGAATATTTCCTCAAGTTTCATTTTTGTAGTTATCTTTTACAATTCATCTTTCTGCGCTCTGATTCTTTCATCTCTTTACTGTTACATTAAAATTTATCTTGACAATTGACTACAAGTTGATTTAAAAATACGTAAATTCACAGATGGATTGTTACCTCGCTTACTATTATCGTTTGTACAATTTTCATGATTAAACTTTTAATTTATTGTCGCCAAATTTCATCCTAAATTCGTATCGTCTGAACCTAACCTAAAGGTAATAAAAAATGTCTCGAAAATAAAATCGAAGTGATAGACTGATCCTTCCCACTGTCAATGATTCTTTTATTAACGTGGTTTATTAACACGTGTAGTCAAATAGAGTTAGAGTCAATCGAGAAAGTAGAAAACACATATATTTCTACCATATCCTACTGAATTCAAATAAAATCTTACTTCAACAGGTCAGCATTGCGTAGCTTGAAAATTAGAATTTTGGAATCACTCACATTCACAACAGTCGCTGATTCCCAGATTTTTAATTGGAACAAACTAAAACTTACGTCGAAATTAACTAACAGTCGCTCGTATTAAATACAATTGATCTTAATTCACAATAACCTTAATTTAATTATATGTATATTTTATTATACAATATTATTTATTATAGTAACCCCAATATTACTTATTATTTATTGTAACAATTTAATCATATGCACAATTTATTATGCAAATTTTAAAAAATTTTATCATACAGAATTAATAACTAACACGAGCCACCTTCCAAAACTTACCCCCTCTCAACCTTTTCCTAATTTCCACGCTCATCGACACAAACTCCCCCCTCCTAATTTTCGACAACTCGCAATTACGAATCTACGCACACTCGACAGAAACTCGGCTCGCACGCCGCAAAAACCGAAAACGAGAGAGACGCAGTTGCAATTGGCAAAGATCGAGAGAACGCAACGGGGGTTCGCCAACCCCCGTTCACCCTGCTCTCGCCTCTCGACTTCTCGCGCAGCCAGAAATCAGTCAGAGTAATTCTATCCCCGGGAAATCGTTCGGTTAGCGTGTGTATCATTCGCAGCAACGGCGGGAGGGGAGAAGAGCAACGTTGGGAGGGGTAAATTCGCGCGCAGGAAATTCTACGAGGCAGAAAACTATGCTGGAGAGGGTGTTGGCGCGTAAGTGCACGACGAAGCGCGTACGTGGCCAGAATTTTCGATCGCGACCCTCGGTACCCTTACTTTCCATGTTTCCATCGTGCAGCCTCTTTTCTT